AAGCTGCTATCAAAATGAAGGCAATGGGGAGGATAGTGGCAAGAGAAAGTTCGTTCCTATCCAAAGCATGGTAACCTAAGGAGAGCCAGGTTGGTCTGGCCACACCTTGTCTGTGTGCTTCTGTTCTCTGTGAGTTAGGATCCAGCCTGAAGCCAGCTGGCTTGGATTCTGGTTCATGTGGGCGGCAGTAATGCAGGCAGCCAGCACATTTTCATTCAATATAAATAAAGAGATCGGAGGGAACTCTGCCGGTTTGTATGGGCAGTCATATATTCAATGTGTAACCGCATCGCATGTAAAACTACAAACCCAGATTTTGGGACCTCACTTGGAAACAGACCATTCAGCGAAAAAAGTGGAAAGAACGATCATTCCAGCCCCGTCGGGCAAGAAGTGGTTAAGAGACCCGCTGCCAGGTACAGAAATGAAACTGGTCTGGATCTGAAATGAACTAATTTGTCAGCACTACCATCTGTGCAGCGCTCGGTCTCTGGCTCGCAGACAGGCTTCAGTGGTTGACATCCTTCCCCAGTCAAACTGCTTGGAAGATATGAGTGTTTCTTATGATTTTGGCAAAGGGAAGCTTTGCACCTACCACCCACTTAGTGATCTCAGCGCTGGACATGGCAGCCTTCTACCAATACCCCTCTCCATCATTTCGGTCCTCTCCGCACTTTCTGTTTTCTCACATTGGCTCCTTTTTTCCCACATTCAACAACTCTCTTATCCCCCTACCTCATGATCGACCATTTTGAGCTAAGGGAAAAACACACATGGTTTCTAGCCCAGGCATTAAACCGCATTTTTCTGTGTGTTCTTTATTTCTATTTGGATGACCGAAGAAGTTCCGCTCAGACCAGATGTATTTTTATGTAATGACCAAAGGAATCTGGCCCGAACTGACCCAAATTTACTTTCGGGAGAATAAACATATATACTGTGACTGTGTGTGTCCAGTCAGAAATGCATGTCATTTCATTTTATATCAACACTTTTAGAAAAAAAGTACAAAGGTGTCACTGGGGCGGTAAACTAACTTACAAAAGCCCTAAATGGTATCTTATTTACCCTTAAATGGTACATATTGATACCTTGAAGGTACATATTAGTACTTTATGTATTATATAAGTATGTATTAGAAACTACTGCCACAGTGACAGTTTTGTACCCTTTTTTTTCTAAGAGTGTACTTTGCAGTTAGACCATCACTATCGGAGAATCATTGGCCAGTGTGCATAAATCTTAATTAATCCAAGAAAAATGGCCAGAGTAATTGTATTATTGTTGAATGTTTTATATGCATTCACACATGAATGATTAAAATGAATTATTGCAATAAATATTTGTTTGACTTGGTAGTGTGCATAGAGGTTTTTCTGTGCAGCCTTTCCATTTGGTGAGTGAGCCAGAGGCACCACCCAACTCTAAGAAAAACACACACACACACATGCGAGTTTGTGTGTTGAAAACCACAGGGGTGGTGAGCTCTAATCTGGAGCCACTAGCCCACTTTAAACACATTCTCCAAGTTATAGCCTCTGCCTCACCAACCTCTCCCAAGAACACACTATTTTTCCCAATAGCCCTCTTTCTCCACATTACATTATGACATACATGTAACATACGTACACATGTGGTACCATTACCTCTGTTTAAACAACTGTTGTAATTCATCTGCTCTGCATCTGCTAGGGTGGCCTTGAGGAAACGTTGTTCCCCGAAACCAGTTCCATGGCTTGGAACCTCCGTGCATTTGTTTTTGGTTCCAGGGGGACCGCCGCATGCACAGACCCCTGACTTCTTTCTGCTGGTGTGTGGTGGACTCCAGATCCTGCTCTCTACTGACCTTAAACAGTCTTCCCATTGTATGAGGCTCAGAGTATTTACCTTTACGGTGATTGCTCTCACCTCCTAAATTAAATGTGTGCATAACATCATCTAACTGTCCTGAATGCCTGATAACTTTTGAATGGGCAAGTTATAGGGGAATGAAATGTGGAAGACTTCTGTGTAACAAACATATTCAACTGTCATAATAATAATAATAATAATAATAATAAATCAATCAGAATAAAAACAATAAATAATAACAATAAAAACTATACATATATGCACACTACTGTTCAAAAGTAAGACTTTTTAAATGTTTTTGAAAAAAGTATTTTGCTCACCAAGGCTACATTGATTGAAGAAAAATACTGTAAAAACAGCAATGTTATGAAATATTATTACAATTAAAATAACTATTTGAATATATTTTGAAGTGTAATTTATTTCTGTAATGGAAAAGATGAATTTTCAGCAGCCTTACTCCAGTCTTCAGTGTCACACAATCCTTCAGAAATCATTCTTATTTGCTGATTTGTTGCTCAATAAACATTTATTATTGTTTATCATTTACTATCTGTCAGGATAATGGACTATTCTGTGTGTGTTTTTGCCCATGTGACCCAGTTTCTTCCTCATGTTGATTGTGTTCATTTGATTCCAGGTGTGTCTCGTTCCTCGCCAATTATCCTGCCTTTAAAAGCCCTAGTCCTTTCAGTTCTTGTTTTGTCAGGTCTACTTGTTGAATGTCCTCCTTGTTCTGGTTCCTGTGGATTATTAACGACTGTGTTATTTAAGTACTCCTCGTTTCCTCGTTCCTTGCTCCCCGAGTGAGTTGTGACACTGTCATTGATAAAAACACTTGTGCTGCTTAATGTTTTTGTGGAAACCATGATAGTTTTTTTCAGGATTGTTTGATGATGTCATGCTTTTTGTTTGTTTGTTTATTGTAATATTACAAGTGTTTTTACAGTCACTGTAAATCTGATATACATTATACTGTTATACATTATTTAATATTAACGCGGAGTGCCTGCAACCCCTCAGCCGTGATTTATTCACGATACAGCACTGCCTCGAGTACCTTCTTGCTTTTATAAAACTGTTACCACACAATAAAAAATATTAAAACCAAAAATGCATGAATTTAAATGTTAATTTTTTTTGAAGCAGGTTCGTTAAATGCTGTCCTTCCGCTAAAAAAATAGTTCCTGACAGCAACTGTAAACGGCAAGAGAATGTTCCGAACATGCCTCATCTAAGGTAATAAAAACCGAGAATAGGAGCTCTTATCACATGCTGTATCATTTATTTTTTTAACACCATATATGTTTTCTCACACACATACATCTGCTTATCTCTCAGCATGAGAAAACATCTGTTTTTCCCGCACAAACAATATTATTAAGAGTTTAGGTAGCCTATTCTGAAATGGCATTTTCATTAATTATCATAGTGTAAAAAAGAAATTGGAAAAAAATACAAATAAATGAAAACCTAATTAAACAAACTATATATATAATTGTCTTTTAATCCTTAAGATCACATTTTCTTTCATGTTTTTGTTATAAAGTAACATTCTCTCTCTCTCACACACACACACACACATATATATATTAGTATTGTTTGATATTGATTTTTATTTTATTTTGCTGTTGTTTGCTCTATAATCTAATTATCATTTCCTCATACTCAACTTCTATCCTTTTTAAGTCAGAACCTTAAAGATCAGAGATGCTAAATCAGAGTGTTACTCCAGTACAAATTCTAAGAATAGTAGGCTACCATGATAAGGCAACGTGCTTTGAAAGTCGTGGGATAACAGATGTCCCCATTAAATGCTCAAAATAGCTACATCACCTGCATCCACTACACTTTTTCCTGCATTGTCTCAAACCGCACACATGCACTTGGTGCAGGAGTGTGAGTCCAGCCTGCAGCAGATGGCTCTGAACATCATCAGTCCATTTGACAGATCAGAGAACTGCGAAGTCCTGACAACATGGTTTTCATGAATTACATAGCGAAACTGGAATGTGTTCTTGTATGTAAAACTTTCCAAACAACAGCGTAATATGAGAATTTGGTGAATAATACATAATGGTCTGCAGGCCGATAGGATTAATCTTCTATCTAAACCACTTTACAGGAGATCTAACTAAATTTGGACAGAACCCCGAGGTCCTGTAAAAGTAGTTTAGTTTAGTGTACTAAGAGGTTGAAACAACTTTAAACAGTGCCACCTAACGGTAAGTTTAAAGCAGCAGAAAGCACATGGGTGGGTTCACGCGTGTTTCTGCCGGGGGTCGATTTTAAACAGATTTTTTTTTCTTTGTTAAATGGCCAAATGTGCATCATGAGAGATTCTGGACATGTTTAACAAATAATTATTTTATTGGTTTACCATCGTCTCAGATCTTTAGCCTTAAACAACTGAAATCCATCATAGAATTTTTTTTGACACATTTAAAAAAAAAATTCAAATAAACGTTATGTTCAGAAGTACTATGGTAATATATGCAAATAGTGAAACTAAAATAAACTTTTTGTTTTATGTTTATGATGTTATTGAAGAGCAGGACGCTTTCTGTGATTTTACTCCCAAAATGTCCATCACATATAATCAAACAGTGATGTGGTTGAAAGATTTGGTACATTTTGGTGGTTCAGGAAAATGATGTGAAAGTGTGCTGTGTGTGTGTGTGTGTGTGTGTGTGTGTGTGTGACACTTATTTTCCTGAATAATGTATGCTGCCTGAGGTACCGCTTCAGTCCATGCTGAGATTTTGCCCCGCCCCTTTTAGAGGCGCGCAGCCAATAGCATATGACAACATCCGGTTTTAGATGTCTGAGAGGGAAGTTCAGAAATATTTGTACAGCTTCCTATGCCGCGAAAATCTCACATTAGATTGAATGCTGTTTTATACCGTTATCTTAAATTATTAGGAAAGTATGACAATACATGTATGTCAATAGTAAGCCTGAGCAAAATAAGGACGTCGTGAGAGTCAGCTGTTGTCAAACTGAACAGCAGAAGTCTTCGCATTTTCCTGAATAATGTATGCTGCCTGAGGTACCGCTTCAGTCCATGCTGAGATTTTGCCCCGCCCCTTTTAGAGGCGCGCAGCCAATAGCATATGACAACATCCGGTTTTAGATGTCTGAGAGGGAAGTTCAGGAATATTTGTACAGCTTCCTATGCCGCGAAAATCTCACATTAGATTGAATGCTGTTTTATACCGTTATCTTAAATTATTAGGAAAGTATGACAATACATGTATGTCAATAGTAAGCCTGAGCAAAAGAAGGACGTCGTGAGAGTCAGCTGTTGTCAAACTGAACAGCAGAAGTCTTCGCAGACCGTCCTCACCTCACTGGGTCGACACGCGCCAGTCTGCGGATTTTACAAGTAATCTGAGTTTTGTTTGTTCATTCACATGAAAATTAAGCATTTGGCCCGACAGTGTGTGACCTAATCTTTGACTGTCAGAACTAGGATGAGAATTTACGAATCATGCTGTGACTTTACTCATGAATATTAATTAGATTACCTGATGAATGTTACAATACAACGTCTGCCAGACCTAATTAATATTCATGATTTTACTCCTTACTGTAATTTTTCTTTAGAGATGTGTATGATGCTTATGCTATGTTGCAGCCAGAAAGAGAACAAACAAATGATTTAATTATACTGTGTGTGTGTGTGTGTGTGTGTGTGTGTGTGTGTGTGTGTGTGTGTATATATATATATATATAAGCCAAGCTAATTTACCCTTGTAAAATATATTAAGCTCAGTTCAGCATACTTCCTAAATGTCTTAGATCTTCAAAATCATGGGTAGTATCAGTTTGGAGTCTGGAAAATTTGAGAACGCTCCTGACATGACAAAAATAATTGAGAAATATACATATAAACCCCAGTTTTAAAATATAATGGTTTTAAACCGTTTTAGTTATCTTAATGCTAAATGACGGGGAATTGTGAGAGGTTCTTGAAACTTTTATCCACACCTTTCTTATATATTTTTGCTACCTATTGCTGTTTTACAAATAATTATTTTATTGGTTTACAATTGTCTCAGCTCTTTAGTCTTAAACAAATAAAACCCATCATTAAAATATACATTTTTAAATAAATGATTTGTTTAAAACTGTTAATATATACAAATATTGAAAAAAAACAAAAAAAAACAATTTTAATAGCTGTTTTTTATTTATTGTGTTAGTGTAGACCAGGCATCCTCAGATCTGGCCCACGAGATCCACTTTCCTGCAGAGTTTAGCTCTAACCCTAATCAAACACACCTGAGCATGCTAATCAGTGTCTTCGGGATCATTACAAAATCACAGGTAGGTGATTTTGATCAGGGTTGGAGTAGGGCTGGACAATATGGCCAAAATTTATATCACAATATATTTCTTAAATTCGGTCAATACGATATAATTCCGATATCGATATGAACACTATTAAAAAAGCCTTATTAAAAATGGCCAAGAACGGCCAAAACAGATGTCTGTACCTAGAAACTTATGAAATATTTATTTGCCAACTCTATGAAACCTACTCCTGTAAAACTATATAATATTTTTGGAAAAAAATGGCGCAAATAAATAAATGTTCACCTTTTATTGGTATTTAGCCTTCATACAAACAAGAAATGTGAAATCACTGTCAAATAAATCTCAGACTCTCCTTATTAATATCACCGTTATTAAAAAAAATTATATCGCGATACATATTGATATTGAAATATTGTCCAGCCCTAGGTTGGAGCTAAACTCTGCAGCGCATTGGCCCTCCAGGGCAAGATTTGAGGAACCCTGGTGTAGACTATATAAGTCTCCAGCCTACATTTTTTCTTTTTCAGTAATCCATTACACTCAAATATATGTCATAATATGGAAGAAAAAATCTGTCCCTAGTTTTCATCACAGCTTACTTATTGAACGTCACATATAAGAATAAGATCAAATACTAAATTTTTTAAATAAAAATTCTAAGACGGGTTTTCACAGTGATAGAAGAACCATTTTGGGTTCTCCAAAGAACCTTTTAGTGAACTGGTGTTAAAACAATCAGGAAAACATTTTAATAACGTCAAAAGAATGTTTTTATCCATCTTAGTTTTAACATAAGGGTGAAAGTGGCCATTTTAACTTGAATCTACATTCACAGAAAATAGCTTACTTCTGTATTGCAAAATAAGGTGGATAAACAACTTTTTTTATGCAGTGGCAGGGTTCTGTCGATGCTAAAGGTTACAGAACCATGAAACAATATATGCCAAAAAAACATTACGTTTTAATAGTGTAGGGCATTACATAAGAATGCAGGAAAATACAAATTGATATTTTAAGGGGGCACCAGAATGGACAGTATCAGGTCTCTGAAAGAGTGGACATGACATAGAATCACTGATAAATCTGTTCAATTCATCATTATCATTAAAGCTGAAATGATCTGTCCTGAGTTTATTATTAGGCCTTCTCAGATTTCTGAGATGATTTGAACTCCAGGATGATGACAGATTGTTGAGTGGAGTGTAATAATGTGTTTGCCCTCCAGCTGAGAATGTCAAAACCATTAGCACCAAGGTAAATGAAGCTTCACTCAGACACCAGCTGTCTGAACAGACATTTTTGCTTTAAACCAGCCAACCGAACCAAATCAAGCAATTGAAAGGCCAACCTGTTTGACTCTGCTCTTGAATGTTGCTTGTCAAGAGCCTAATTATACATTTGTAGTCACTTCTTTACTGCAGGTTTTTTCTATTTGGCATACAGTCAGGACATTAGTATGTGTTGGTACGCGTCAATGTTGACGCTCTCCAGCGCATAACACAGCCCAAATAATTTGACACTTGCACAAATTCAGCTAGCGATCTACTAGTATTCTGTGTTAGAAATTACACCCATCTTGGCCGTGGCAGTTTATTGGCCAGGCGGCTGTGTCCCCCGGAGGACTGGAGAAAGCTGTGCGGGGATGACAAGTCAACAAGGAGCGTTTGTTCATAGTTTGGTTTGATGAAAAAAAGGAAAGAAAGGCTAATTATATATTTACATTGTCTCACCCAAGGGATTTTTCCAGCAGGGGTGATGGCAAGACATTAAACGACTCCACTGTTACGAGCAGATCATAAAAACACTCCCTTGTTGTGTCTTTCACAGACCTGTCATTAAGACTAAGAACAACAATTACCCACAAACTCCCGCTCCCGCACACACAAGCTGTTTGAGCGCCTTTTCCACTCCGTTACGCTGTGGTCGCGGTGTGAGAACCTCACCTCCCAGCAGGACACAGATGAGGATGTGTCTCCATTGATGGTTTCAGCCTTGGTCGATTTTGTTTATTTGTCAAAAATACTTCAGTGCTGAGTTAAGAGCGTTCTGGAAGTTTAAAATGAGTCCACGAAGACTTTATTGCACTACCCAGTGCCGCTTTTATCTTTTTTTTCCCCCTTTTTCAAACTGTCCGGCTCATGAAATACAGGCTGATGACAAATTAAGAGCCCTCAATTGGGTAACACATTTTCAACTCCTCATTTCCTGATTACAACCCCTGTCATTTCAGACTCTGTACAAAGGACATCATTATTATGGTCTTAACTCTCCTACTCTTTCAGGAATGAGAAACACACTTTTGAAGAAATGATGCAGGGTGCACATGTAGATCTGCTGGCCTTGAACGGAATAGTTCACTCCCAGAAAGCCTTTTTACCTATGGTTTCTTTTATTTCTGTGTGTCCTCACAGACTTGAGAAAATGGAGGCTGTATCTGAGACAGATGTGCAGTTCTGGATGGCCAAAGCCGTGAACTGGGGGGAGGCTACGTCATGTTCTGCTCTTCTGGACACAAGCAGACACCTTGGCTCTCTGAGGAGCTTTCTCCAGCAAGTTCTGCAGGGGTTGCAACAAATGGTATGAAAATGTCAACATCCTGCTTTATACTTTCAAGCTGTACTTTTTGTCTGGAGTTTTGTGAAACATTTTACATAGGCCACAGCTTATCTCTACAGCTATTTTGTTAAATGTTAGCATCCAATAAACAATTGTTGATCTAATGTTGTTCTGCATAATGATATTCTTAATTCTTCACCAGGAAATGTGTTCACGTTATCTACAGAGCAGGTATGGACAGGATAGTCAACAAATAACCAACGAATGGTCATTTAATAAGTTATAACCAACTAACTGATTAGTGAGGTCAACGTTGTTAAGATTTTAAAATATAATTTTTTTAATAGCAAGTTTTTTGTTTGTCTTGTGAATGTTTTCTCTAAACTCATAATATCAATTTTATTCATTTAAATTAATAATTTTATATTTGCATTTATATAATTGCATTTAAATAGTATAATATATAAATGTGATTTATATAATATAATACACCCCCCTCCCCTTTTTTAGATGGAAACATTACTGATTGGTTTATGATTTTTTTTTTCTGGTTTAAACTAGCAGGCAAAAAAGTCACAACCATATGTCAACCAAATACTTAAGTTTGCATAAAAACATAAAGGCATAAAAATACATTTACATGATCATTGGATCTCACACTGGCCTTGGACCATATTGTTGAGCCCTGTAATTCTTTTTAACTGTGGTGCTTACATAAATTAAGAGATGCAACTTTTTGGAGAGAGATTTAGCATGCTGACAGCATGCTGTGGTTCAACATGCTAAAAGTCTCACAGTAAGATAGAACTCAATGTTAGTCAGTTTTGAAAATGTGTAGTTTTGCACATCTCTATTGCAGAGTTCATAAAATCACCTTTAAAATTAAGGTCATAGTGCTTTAACTAACTCTTTTAGCACCCCTAACAGAAGCCTCTCTGTGCGGATGAAGGCAGGACATTGGCACAGCCGTGGTGATGATTTAGTTGGCTAATAGCCACCAAGGGACTGCCAGCGTTAACCTAATGTATCCCTGCGTCAAGTGTTGCAAATTTGGACGAGGTAGTATGGGTTAGGATAAATCTGTGAAGGACCAGTGTTAAGAAAAATTCTGCCTCCCACTGACTCTCCTCACCTTGAAAGAAGGTCTTTATTCATCTAGCAACGGCCTTTCGAACCAGCAGATCTCTTGTTGGCCCTGCATACCATGCCACTTGGTACCTGGTGTGTCGGAAAAGAAAACAATATCTTGCAGGCTTTCTTATTTCAAGTTACAATGGCCCCCCTGCCAAAATGCAATCACGTCTTCCGTTTCCATCACATTCGGCATGTGTCAGCCCCTCTGACAGCATTCAGCAACGTGATGGGATCAGGATTTCTTAATTGGCCCTAAACCCTTATTCCCGGCAGAGCCTCGTAAAAAGGCCAGAATGAAGCGGCTCTGAACAGCAGCACTTGGATGAGTTAAGGACATGGCTCGCGCCTGGGGATGAAAAAATTTCTCGTTTATATCAATTTCCTCATTTGCATTCCATCAGAACCGGTTTTCCCACTCCCTGCTTGGGACTGCTGGAAAGGGGAGGTTTCACGGTCCCGTAAACGGTTTTCTTCCTAAGCCTGGCGCAGTTGGGTGCCCGCTGGCGATGCGCCCGTGCTCAAGGGGAGGCTGAGAGATGCCTGTGTGTGTGAACACATTCAGTATTTGCAGACTTGTGAATGTGTACATAAGACTTTTTGTACATCTCTGGGATGGTACACGCAATGACAAAGCTCTTCATACCCCTGTTCTGGAGCTGGACTTTGTCATGACATTCATGAGAGTCACATGTGAATGAACTTTTCAAACCATTTTTCAAGAGTCCACACTAGGGCAGCATAATTAGTTGCATTAAAGTTGATATTGTGATATGGCATAGCAAAATTATTTAAAGGCTGCAATTTAATGTTAAATTATATTGGAAATTTTGATTTTGTTTTATATATTTTGTGTAAGTTATAATTCTAAAATGTAATGACAATTTAAATGATAAAATTTTACTTTAATTAAAGGCACAATATGTAATTTTTGCCGCTGGAGGGCGCATATTCAAAATAAACAGAGGCAAAGGTGTAGTTTGATGACGCTGTGACTGAGTGTGGAATCATGGGATTTGTGGTCTTCATCCCCACAGCCGATGCAATCCGAAGGGACTCGGGCAGAAATCATGTTCATGGATGAGCTAATGATTTATTAAGGTAGTAGAATGAAGCAGGGTGAATTTGAAAGCAGCGGAGCTTTTATTATGCCACAGTCGACCGCTTCCGCTCCTTCCGGTCGTGCATATGTGGGGAAAAAAGCAGCGCTGTTTTATCATACTAGATACATTTGAACATTCTGTTATAGTGCTACTCTGTGCGGTCGTCACCGGTCTATTAAAAGGCACAACATATTAAAGCGTCTTTGGTGTTTTCTACAAAACAAAATTTAGAAAACGGAAATCGAGGGGTTATGACGTCATTGGCAGGCGTCACAAGGACACTATAGACACGGTCCGTGTCACTAGTTAAAATTGCTTATTTCTCTGGATTTAAACATTCTTCGAAACATTTGGGATAATGTAAGTACACAAGTCAGCAAAATATATATAACACTGTTCTAGTGGTTTTTTGGATATTTTAATAAAAAAATCTTACGTATTGTGCCTTTAAAATGTTTAAACTGGTGTCTGGGGACCACAGAAGGCTTCAAAAGAGAGTCTGCAAAAAGTTGTGCAGATGATGAATTTTTATGGTTGTCAAAGCTGTAAAACTGCTTTGGAGCAATGTTAGGTTTGAAAAGCATTAAATAATTTTCAGGTTTATACATCTGACATTTAAAGTGGGGATAAAAAGAATTTCAGCTGTCATTATCATTTTCTAGATAATATTTTGATCAATTGTTTTGACTTCAGTACAATAACGATATAAAAGCTAATTATTTTGCAATCAAAACATTGTTTTTTATAATATGCTTTCTCTCGCACAGTTTTTTTTTTTTTACATGAAAATGTAGAGCTGACTTTACATTTTAGAAATGGGGTCGTTAGAAAAGGGATTCATCTCATTTGGGGGTTCCTTAGCATCAAAAAGTAAAAAAAAACCCCTGTATTAGATGTTATTATTACAAATGGGAGGTCTAGAGCTACATATAATTAGTTTAGTGTGTGCTCTGTATTCGTATTAAATATTTTTTTGGCTGCCACAAGGTCTTTTTCTTTTTGTGAGATTTGACGTGTTAAAGTTCCACAGGAATGGTGTCATTCACTTGATGCGTGCACTGAAATCGTTTAGTGTCCAATAATGTATGTGCCTATGGAATGTAAAAAGGCTTAGATCCTTTGTATAGCTTCCAGTTTACAGTAAATTGGCAGGGTACATCTTGAACTGATGCGAAAAGCTGTGATCCTCAACATGCCTACCCTGTATTAGATGTTATTATTACAAATGGGAGGTCTAGAGCTACATATAATTAGTTTAGTGTGTGCTCTGTATTCGTATTAAATATTTTTTTGGCTGCCACAAGGTCTTTTTCTTTTTGTGAGATTTGACGTGTTAAAGTTCCACAGGAATGGTGTCATTCACTTCATGCGTGCACTGAAATCGTTTAGTGTCCAATAATGTATGTGCCTATGGAATGTAAAAAGGCTTAGATCCTTTGTATAGCTTCCAGTTTACAGTAAATTGGCAGGGTACATCTTGAACTGATGCGAAAAGCTGTGATCCTCAACATGCCTTTGCATTAGCGCGCTGGTTTTCATTAATTACGTAACTGACTTTAAAGAAGTGATCAGTGACTCTCTCCGTCTGTCTGCGTGGGAATAGTTTTATAAAATGCCATCAAAAGGTTTTTTTTTTGGCTCAAATAGTTCTTTTTGGAAATGATGATTGATTTTTTTCATATTAGTTAATTGTTCATACTTGTGATGTCAGGTAACTCGGCAAGTGACACATTTATTTTGTTACTTAAACTGTCAGTATTACTTAAGAAAAAAAAATTGACCACAGCTTATGAGCTGAGACAGAATCTGCTGTTGACAGTTCATTTTGATGGGGAAAAATGCTAAGCAATATAGTTCTGACATAAGAACATTTATTCCTGCTGAGTTCCTCTTGGCAACCATCAGATCTTCCTTGATTTTCCAAAAACAATCCAAACACACAGTCCTTTAAAACGGCCCTTACTGAGGCACAGCAAGCATCTATTTTAGTAGTATATTGTATATGAAATATATGTGCGAGGGTAAAGCACGCTGATGTAGATATGTCTTTATCAATCCAGTTCTGAAGTGGTCATCTGGGAAAGAATATTGCAGAGGAAATGAAAAGGGTCCTAGGACGTATCCTTGGGGAATACAAGCATCACAACAACACCAGATGAATTCTGATTCGGAAGCAAAAAGTTGCTTGAATTTACAAAATGCTAAAAATGGGTGTGTCATTAACAATCTATGAAAATAGCCTCAATGCTGGCATGGCATTAAAAAGGGAATAAATAGATAAATTCATTAATTTATGAGATGAGTACTAGGCTATATATTTGGAAAAGTGATGTGTTAAAATACAAATGAAGTCAAAACAAGTTTTCAACTAAGGGTATGTCTTCCTATACATTGAGCCTTAGTGCTAATTTTAGTGAGGTAAGTTTGAATCTAACTTGCAGTGCTTTACAAAGACAAAATGGAAAAAAAGCTGAATTTTTTTTCATAGGATTATACACTTGTATTACTTGGTCTATGCTGTGAATCTATGAATGTTTAGTCCAATTGCAGTTTATTTTTCATAATGCAGATGGTGGTTTTTGCTATTGATGTCTCAGGTATGTGTGTTTACTGTATAACAGAGCTCCACTAGTGAGGCCATGAAGACGTTTCCTTTTGTGGGCCAGTTCCTGGGAAGACTTTGTTGGAACCCATGTGTTATTGCGGATGGTAAATTTACGACTCTCCTACACTCTGGGGTGTGTTTCCCATTTGAGACCAAGAAATGTGTCTGCATGGGTTGGGTATTTACACTAATTTTCCAATGAACCCTGTAGCGGCCTGCTGGGCATTTGTTCTGTTATTTGGCTCGATTTCACTACCTCTTTTTCTCTCTGTCTGATCAACATTTCCCTTTGCTGAAATGTCATATCAGACCTGTTCTTCACATGCAGCATTAAAAATGCTTCTAAAAAGTTGTGATTTATTGCAATAGTTATTCTGTACTTTTTACCCCATTATAAACAGTGAGGTCCAAACGTCTGAGACTCGTATGAATGCTTCTGCTAGTTTACTACAATTTTATTGTTAAATTATATTATAAATTATTTAATTAAAATGTATGCATATTTTTGTCAGAAATGAAGTTATCTGTATAACAATTTGAGTAAAGAGTAAATTCACTGGAAGCAAGGAAATCTGCCTTTTTGTTCAAGATCACATACTCACAAATGTGTTAATTTGATTATTGACATTCAAATATTGCAGAATCAAAGAAATAGTGTAATATTTTATATTTGGTTTACATCATATGGTTTCTTTGTTTACAGTTGTTTGAAGATCTAAAACTTTTGTCTCTAGCTTTTAAATTAACTTTGAATCTCAGTATAATGTCAGTTTAGTCTAGTTTGTGCCCGATTATAAATGCATGCTTGTTTTAGGTTCTCTGTCACAGATGAATATGTGGCCATTTTCACATTTTGTAAATGCCATTTTGTCCTGTGGTCTTGTTTATGTATGCTCAGAGAGGAGCCAGAGACTCCTGCTGCGGTGTTTGAACTGTCTGTACAGCGCTGAGCCACTTAATACTGTCGAACAAAAAGCCAACATGTGGATCAAGGTAAAGCAACAACATTTCACCTCTTTACTAGTCAAGTCACCTTTATTTATATAGCGCTTTTAACAATACAGATTGTGACAAAGCAACTGAACAGCATTAATTAGGAAAATAGTGTCAATAATGCAAAATGACAATAGTAAACACTCATTTTTCAGTTAAAGACAGTTCATCATTGAATTCAGTGATGTCAACATCCAGCTCAGTTTAAATAATATCTTTGCAATCATGTCAACGATAACGCTGGAAATGAAGTGTCCCCAACGAAGCAAGCCAGAGGCGACAACCCTCGAGTTTATGGAATAGATAAATAAATTGCCAAAGCAGTATTGCAAATTGATTTCCTGACAAACACAATACAAATGTGGAATATATTGGTTGTTTAATTCAAATTGTAAAGAAGAAACATTAATTATTTTATTAAAATTGTCATTAAAATGACAGTGAAGAGTTTTAACCCCTTAACTGTTACCGTCCCGCTGGTAGAGTTTACTTCTATATTACTATATTCTATACTACTATATTACAGTTAAATCCTAATCTAATCATGACAAACTATATATCGTTGGAAAGGTCTAAGACTCCTAAATAGATATTTTATTACTGTTTTTGTTACAAATTATGTAGGAACAGTAATAGATTAATTTATGACAAAGTGCACCTCAAAACATATGTGACCACAAAACCAGGGTAAATTTTTCGAAATTGAGATTTATACATCATGAATAAATAAGCTTTCCATTGATGTATGGTTTGTTGGGATATGACCATATTTGGCCGAGATACAACTATTTGAAAATCTGGAATCTGAGGGTGCAAAAAAATCAAAATATTGAGAAAATCGCCTTTAAAGTTGTCCAAATGAAATTCTTAGCAATGCATATTACTAATCAAAAATTAAGTTTTGATATATTTACGGTAAGAAAATTTACAAAATATCTTCATGGAACATGATCTTTACTTAATGTCCTAATGATTTTTGGCATAAAAGAAAAATCAATAATTTTGTCCCATATAATGTATTTTTGGCTATTGCTACAAATATGCCCGTGCTACTTATGACTGGTTTTGTGGTCCATGGTCACATATACTACATCATAAAATTATTTTTCGTTTCATTTTTTCCTATCACGTTACAGTAATCATCATAAATTATATATTATTTGAAAGCTTAAAACCTCAAAATTCATCCTGTGCAAACCATTTTGAAATCGAACATTGCGTTACCATGGAAAGGGTACTTTAAAATCTTTTTGTGGGCTCCTCACCCTTAGTGGGTGTGTCATTTTGTAAAATGTATTGCGGTCTTTTAGAATCAAAACTTTTTATAATCTTGACAAAATACATATCGTTGGTCTCAAGATTCCATATTTGGTGGTTAATTTGTGATATAAGTAATATTGAGAGAAAAATGAATACATTTGTGACAGAAAAATTGTATTAAAAAAACCCAATGGAGTTTGAATGGCACCTGGTGGCTAGTTTTGGTATAACACCTAAACAAAATTGCATTGAACCTCAATTTTTTTTATTTCAACTTAAAATTTGGAACACAGCTTATTTAGACATGTTCATGGCCCTACATGAGAAAAAGTAAAAAAAATTCTGGAAGAAAAAGATAAGTTAAATAGTATTTCATATACATTGAAAATAGAACTGATAGCTCACTTTTACCATCTGAGTCTGAGAAAGTCGTTTTCAGCACTGAAAATAATGATAAAAAGCTAATTTTTGCACTTTCCAGGGTAGCAAAACACCAACATAACAACATATACCCAAGAAATATATTTAATTTGGGTCGGTACAGTTGCCTTGGAAAAAAAAAAAGTGGATCAAATTGACCCGCGAACATCAAAATCGTTAGAAAATTATTTGTGTGCACTTCAAAACACAGTGTATTCTCACTTTGCATGCATGTTCATGGCCCTAAATGAGGCCCTAAAAGTCACAAAATATCAAGAATAAAATCACAGATTAACTGGTATTTCTGACAGCTCGAAAATCAAAATGGGTCAAATTGACCCGGAATGTAATACAAGGGCTAAGGAGATGTAATCAGGGTTGGGAGATGAAAGGTGATGAAAAAGAACTAACATAATTGTACACTTTCAACTTTTTACAGAATTCACACAGATGGTTTACCATAAGCAATACAGAACCCCTCGCATTTCTGCCAGATTCAAACGTGTGTGCATTCGTTTGATAATTTTTTTCATCTAATAAAACATAGCGCTAATTAAAGCAGGGCTTTTAAAGTAAACTTTTAATTTGCCAGATGTTTTTTGACCTATACGAAGGGAAGTGGAGTCAGAGGGAGGTGTGGGTTCTCTGTCAGGGGTTCAGTCACGGTGTTTAATCTTACATTATTTATTTGCTTAGCGAACAATCCCTAGTGCAGCAGCAGTGTTTGTAAGTATGGTTTGTTTGGGAAAGATATGGAACATAAAACAGAGATTAGGACTTGATTTGTGCAATAACGTTACAGATTATAGGCATGTGTGTATTTACTCGATCAATGAAACATGGGAAGAGGAAGACAATCCAAAAGAGTCTGACCTATAGAAGGTCCATAAGCTTGCTGTTTTTGTCTTCTACTTTTGGTAGACTGGCCAGTCTCCTTCTGCTGATTTGTATGTCAGAATTACACCATGATACAATGGTAATGCCATGCTTTTTTGGGCTTTTGAAGTACCATTTGAATGATCATATAAAAATAATTACTAAACCATGGCACTATTCCTCAGGTTTGATCACGGTGATCTGGAAGTGTGTTCTTTGTTCTTTGCATATCACTTTCTTATTTGTTCTGTCTTGTTGTAACCTAATTACTGTCCAATGTCTTTGGTCTTTTTCTTGTTGTGTTTTGGCAAATTGATTTGGTTTGTGTTCATTTCCCGGGGGTCTTCCTTCTCCTCCCAGCCTGACGTCTTGCTTCTCCCAGACAGCTGATCTCTTATTTTTCCATTCTCGTTTTTTTTTTTTTGCGGTTCTAATGGACTGTGCATTTTTCCGTTGGCATTTATCCCATCCTAGTTTGTTTCGAGCACTGTTTACTGTCACTGTCAACATGTAAAGACTCACCCATCTGAGAAAGCCTTCATGTCGATCAGCATGGGTTACAATGTGAGGTCCATCTGGGATGATTCCAGCTGATCCCCCAGAGCCTCAACGGCAGTGATGGCCTGTGTTCCTTTAGTTGCTCGACATGAATAAACAAACGGTCCTGTCATTCACAAAGCCAACTTGGTTGTGGTGTTCTTGTGGGTGGTTTCAGCCCAGCAGATGAGACGAAGAAGAATGACGATGCTTCCGCAGAGCCACGGAGAGACGTTTTTGTCTATTAATATAGGGCCGGTTGCCCATTCTTCTGTGATCCTTTGCTCTGGAGCGCCAGCTTGACTCTCTCTCTCCACATCAGAGAGACCAGACCATGCCTGATGGCCCCTCCGCTCCTTCAGGGCTCCTGGGGGTCTGGAAGCAGTCCTCTGGGAGACTTGCGTGGTCTTTTTAAGTATTATACATTTACCTCTGCAGACGCATTTAAGAACTGTTTTAGGCTGTTTAGAATGACCTTATCTTTAATATATCAGGATTAAATAGCATAAAACGTAGCCCTCATCTGACATGAATTATTCCTTAACTCTCATAATGCATTTAAAAATCATAGATTTTTGTTTGCCACACTCTTTTATTAATAAAAAAGTCAAGAAATTACTTAATTTCAAAATAAAAATAAAGAATAAAGAACAATCTTTAAATATTCATACATAATGTACATCATTAAATGAAATTCCTAAGAACATATAATCTGACAATTACCAGTATTAACATTGTACTCAATTGATTTAAATTACTTTGAACCTCCCTGCTGAAAATCCCCATGCTAAAACCAGCCTAAACTGGTTGGCTGGTCTTAGCTGGTTTAAGCTGGAAGTAACTGCTTTTAGCTGGTTATTCCAGCTGGTCTCCCAGCCTGACCAGCTAAGGAAGTGGCCAAAACCCCACTAAAACCAGTCTGCTTACCAGCTATGACCAGACTGGATTACCAGCTAAAACCAGCCAACCAGCTTAAGCTCAAAGCAAAGCATCTTAACTCATGACTGCTCATGACTGCTCAAAAACAGTCCAAATTTATTAAACTAACATATTCATTTTCTAACAAAACAACATCAATGTGGGATGTTTTCAAATAAAATGTTCATTTTACTTTTATAAACTTTAGCTTTCAGTTGAAAAAGATGATTAATTTTTCATGCTGCAGTGGTTCATCAAAAGGCAATGCATATTCATGTTTATCAACAAAATTCATCCCAAATGTGTGTGTGTGTGATATGGGAGGAGGCTAAATATATTATACAAAAGTATTTTGAGACAAATATAACTCGTATATCAAAAAGACATCCAGGTCAGAATGGATCAAAAGTTTGGTTCCCATGCTAAAAACTATTTTAGAAATGTTTTGTTTCTCTTTCAGGTCAAAATGGACCTGAATGCTCTTAAATCATGTAGCATATCTGTGAGGCATGCAAATTTAGTAATTTTTAGTATTAATAGTTTAACAATATATGTAGTTTGCTTGATTGTTTAAAGATCTTTTAAGCTACAAGATTCATGCGATGCTTGTGATGTTTTTTTCCCTTTTTTTGTTTTGTTTTAGGCATATTGAAAGTTGTTTTGATTTAGCTTGGGCATCCATGTGGTTTAGTACTGTCTAAATTACCACTTTGAAGAACAAAAAAAAAAAATCATCATGGCAGATGCCATGTTTCTCCACCTCAAGGTAGAGAAAAAAAACGAGAGAATATAAAAAGGCTGTGTTTCATTGGCCTGCGCTGTAGCCGCAGCCCAGCTTAGAGTTAAGTGTGATCTGCAGTGTGTTTTTGCTGTTCAGATGGTAGTAATTGAGCCTCTTTGGATCTGTGGAGGACATCTTGGCATACTGTAAACCTAAAGAAACCACATGGCCCCTCAGCAAGCAGACATGCTTTCTGTCAAGTCTTAAACCCTGTGCTTTCATAAACAGACAGGCCTTGCCACCCGTTTCCATTGTCCTTTTTCCTTTCTTTCTTATTATTAATGTGCAACACGGAGATGTATTTATGATGAGCAAATAGTTGTCCAATCACATACAAAACAAAATAATTCAGTTATTGATGTTTATTGGTGTGTGATGATTAAATTTAGCCATAAACAGAAGGTGTTGTGTTTAAAAGCTGTCGTTGACATTGTTTTATGTTATGTATCTGTTCTGGACAGAATATGTTGTGTCATCTGATCTCGGAGGAGGAGGGCAGTGTAGCTCATGCTACAGTAAAACATGCTGGATTAACCCCGACGCGATACCACTCAGAGGCTCTTCAGAAGGTTTGGGAATCATTGTAACATTAACATTGTAATGGTTAGTGTGATAGAAAGGCTGGACAATATAGTTGAACGAATTCTTCTTTTTCAGTCTATTTATGATTTTCGATAGCATCTATTTTCTTTGCCCTCACAGGAACTGTTGTTTGAACTAAACAGCCTCTCTTCCCAAGTATTATTGCAAGAAGTAAAATACAGTGAAAAGTATAGTTTAAATAATGCATATTTTATTCACTAAATGAACACCAGGAAGTTTCACATTGAATCCTTTTATAAATGAGCAAATGGAGTGGTGATGCAAACAAATCATAAAATTTATTATTTTTTAACTTTTTGAAGTCATGAACAATCAAGAAAATGAACTATTTTTGCTTCTGAAGTTTGAAATTTGAGAAGGGTTTGTAAAACTAGTCTAGTGATGGACAAATAAAAAGTTTTTTTTTTAAATGGTTTGCTATGTAATTTTACATCGCCAACAAAAACATGCATTGTGAATATTAGATACAGTATATTGCTCAGCCACAAATGTATTTTCCACTCTTATTTACATGAGAAATTGTCTGTTCATATGTGACTTCGTAATCAGAAACTGAAACCATGTTAAAGTTTGACGTCATTTTAAAACTGCATTCAATTTATGAAATTAAAGGCAAACTGTTGTGTTCTGCTGTCCATTTCAGGTTGTGTCATTGATGACAGAGGAGGTCATTAAAACCTGTGACGGCTTGCCAAACACATCAGCCAGGTAATAAAACTTTAATATCAATCTGGACATGCATGTTTGTTTCTGTTTTACACCTGAAAAATAAATTTTCTCTGACATTCAAACAGTTTGTTCAGACAAATACTACACTCTCACATTTCATTTATTTATTTATTGTTTGTTTTGTAGGTGTTCAAATGGGAATATTCATGCTATGTCATTGGCATGCGCTGCCTTGGTCACATGTCCTCAGATATCTCCTCTTATTGGAGCTCTGTTGAAGCATTCCATGTTGTGTGGCTCTTCCTGTCTGAATCAAGAGTTCATTAAGGAAGTCAGTGAGGCCTTGATCAGGTGAGTGTCATTACAGTGCAGCATTGTCTCTTGTCCAATGTGACCAGCATTTAATGACAGCACACAGACTGTTTATGCGTTTTCTGTCTTTCTCTCCTACACAGTAAGAGGCTTGTGTTGGAGGATGAGGCCGTAGTGAACCTGTGGTGTTACAGTCCCACCTGTCTGGAGGGGGCAGCAGTGAGCTTACTGGAATCTGTGCTGTCTGACCATGAAACAATGTCACAGAGTCTGGACAAACATGTTAATGGCTCATTACTGGTAAGCTTGAGTTCTTCTATATTAACATTTTTCTTTTCTTGATTCCAAAAGATTGAGACCACATTAAAAGTATTTTTTAAATCTTAAAATTTAAACCTGAAAATAAACAAATGTGTGTTCAAATGACCCTTTCTTTCTTTCTTGAATACATTCAGGGTTTTTTTTCTTCAGTTTTTCACTTTTCAATCTGTTATTCTGATATAATAATATAGTTCACAAGAAAAACGTTTTATCATAAAAATGCAAAACTTTTTTCAAACTTTTTGCAAAAATATTTTCACTAGTGGTATCAGATTTTTGATCCCACATATTGCATATTGCCAAAATATTAATAGCCATAACTCTTAAAAACTGTTAAACAAATATATCAGCACCTTACGGCAACAGACCATCATCATGTTTATTAGCAACAGTTCACACTGTTATGTTTGATGGCAGCTAGTACCGCATGTCATAATATTTGCTTTGGTTGCTAATTAATTTGGTGCTGCTGTGTTGACAGTAAAACTATGGTAGTAAAGAAGGAATTTGATGGTCTGTTGTTCGTATGGTACACAGCGTGTGAAGATTAACAGTGTTGCATGATACGCTGGCCTCTTTTTGAGAACAGACACAAATAGTGTGATGTGAAGCAGGCCCGCGGTCCATACACATCTTTATGAGGCTGCTTCATATCTACATGAAGAAAGTTCAAATGACTCAAATCAAGACCTCATTTACATGTCCGTCTAAGGACGTCAAACAGTCGTCTTGTAGCTTATGTTTGAGGTTCTGTTTAGCGTCTCATTCTGAGCAGTACAGACAGGTAAAACGAGGCCCAAATTCAGCTGCATTCAACTCTTATTTGTTGTGCTTGCGAGCAGATTGAACTCTGCGGTGTTTACGTTGCAGGAACAAGTTGTTTAAACCGCAATCAAAAAGGGGAAACCAGAAATTAGTTTCACATTTCTGTTTTCATCCACCTTCCTCAAAGCTAAGATCCAATAACAATAAACAGCATCTTCTAGCATCCCACTGCCAGAAAGAGGATGTTTTTGCCATGCTGTAATTGACCCTCCCTGAAGTGTTAGGAGAAGGTATGGATGAGTGTTCGGAAAGCCCATCTGTTTTCACTAGGGAGAGAAAGCTTCAGCCTTCATAAAAAATAAAAGCAGACAGCCCTTTCCTATGCCTCTGCTTATGTCACGTCATCTCTTATTTGAGTTTTTTTTTTAAATGATTGATAATTTCTTCATCCTTGTGTTGTTCCAAGCATTTGATATCTTTATTTACTGTATGACTTTTTTTCTTCTGTAAACACCAAGTTATTTATTAAGAATGTCATGGCTACTCATTTCCATATAATAAGTCTGTCAAGCTAAAAAAACAAACAAACATTAATTGTCGTAAAAATATAAATGTTGTACAAGTAAGCCAAACTGCTTCTACTCAAAAATAAGCTTGTGTTCATTATATGGAAAATAGCAGCCTAGAATTTATTAAAAATATTCCTTTTTGTCCCTCTAAAGAAAGAAAGTCATACATGTTTGGAACAGCATGAGGGCAATCCGAAACAGGAAGGCACCTGTGAACTGGAGAGAAACTGGAATCAACCATGCTACCATTCAAACGTTATTAACACAGTAAAAGCAGGAATATTGTGAAACATTATAACAATTAACTGAGCAAATAACTCTTTTTCTATTTTAATGTATTTTAAAATATAATGTGTTCTGGTGATGGCAAAGCTGAATATTCATTACTCCAGTCTTTAGTATCACATGATCCTTCAGAAATCATTCTAATATGCTGATTTGGCACTCAAGAAATGTTATTATTACTAACATTTTGTGTTTCTTGAAACTGATCAAAAATGTTTTCAAGATTCTTTGATGAATTGAAAGGTCAAAAGTCCAGCATTTATTTGAAATAGAAAATCTTTTGTAAAATTATAAATACTTCAACTGTCAAATTTGATAAATTTAATGCATCCTTGCTAAATAAAAGTATTAATTTCTTGAAAAACATCTTAATGACCCCAAACTTTTGAATGGTAGTGTAGGATGATTGTGTCTGAATCGGTTATTTATGAAGATCAGGCAAAGAGCGACATTTCAGCTTCACGTGCATTTGAATGTTTGTGCGAAAAATTGCTTGTGATTGCAGTTGTAGTCATTTTCGTTCATTGGTTTATGACATTGGCTGTGAGTTGTTGAGCTCTGTATTCTATGATCTCTCTCATTTCTATCGCTCTGTCTTCTGTCTTCTGAGACAGGATCATACCATCTAATGTTTGTTGCTGAAATGCATCTCTTTTTATTGGAGCAGCAAATTGGCGGCTTTTGGCAAGCGTTGAATAGCTGAGGTTACGGGAATATCTGAGATGCTTTGGGGTTTGGGGGGGCTTCGGAGGGGGGTCGTGTGTGAGGATCGTGTGTGTGTGTGTGCGTGCGCGTACAGAGGAGAGATGAGGGACGAGGGTGCCTGTGGGCTGGGTGGGGCAGACGTTTTAATGGTCCCAAATGAAGGAGAGAATAATGAGGCTTCTCCCTGTGGCCTACACACACACACACACACACAAACACAAACACATTCACAAACAAAGACAAATGCTCTAAGGATCAAAGACCGCAAGGGCACATGTGGGCTTTCTGGAGCACTGATGTTTTGGGTCTGGATGAAATGTTTTTATGACATTCTTTGCCCATATGAACTATGGGTATATTAATGAAACCTGTTCTATTAAAATATGAGCATGTAAGTTTACGTGCTGCACCAGACATGCATGTACAGCTGCTTGGATGTAATTTTTTACTCTTTCACATGAATTTAAAACAGATGATATTCCTGTATAATAAAGCAATGTGCATTTTGTTGGTAAGAAAGCTGGCTGTTATACTTGCAACATTGAATTATGGGAGGGGTCTGTATAAGATGCCAACAGGTCCTCATTATTATTACAGCATTGCCCCCTAGTGGTTAAGAGAGCAGATGACAAAAATGCAATGTTCTTCCCCCACCAGCCTCAAGCTTCAGCCGATCACTGTCACATCTTCCTCACAATCAACGAACTTTACAGGTGAATATCATATTTTGTGTGCATTTTATTTCTATTAGTTAGACCTATGGAGTATCTACACCACAGAAAGTGCCTTCGACTATATTTAAAACCATTCTTCTTAAATAAAAACAAAAAACAGTGGATTCCATTTGGCCAGTTTATATAATATAATATAATATCAGTGAGTTATATTTGTTCTAGCCAATATTATTTTTATTATTGCTATTTTTATGATTTAGGCTGCTATTGGAAGCTTTCAAAGTGTATTAAATGGTTTTAAATTTTTTTTAAATGTTCTGAAGTCTCATTTAAATCACTGCAATTTTTTAGATTAACGCTTTAGTGTAAATGTTTTTTTTTAAAGGGCACAACAGTATGTATTTATTATAAAAGCCATTTTATAATAATTGTTGATTTAAAACCTCTATGTTGCTGCATCCGTAATTATTACTTATTAGAATTTAAAATGTTATAGTAAATCAGGCCGTTTTAATTCCACAGCAAATTAATTTCAGAAATGGTGTGAGATTGTGTGTGTGTGTTTAGGAATGTGCTGACAGAGATTGATGAGAACCTGGCCGTGAGAGCCCTCATACAGGTTTTCACTGTCTGCTTCCTCCAGAGACTGACTGGACAGAAATCCCAGGTACAAACTGGCTTCATGAAGGTGAATGTGTAATTTCTCTGGCACTAGCAGCACCAAACTGAATTGCAAAAATAATGATTGTTTCCAAAAATATGGAGTCCCACAGAGACCATAAACAAGAGAAAACAAGGCCGAGAAATAATGCATTGACTCTGTGGAGTTTCATATGATTGGCAGGTCTGTTTGGTGCCACTAGTGGCTCTCAAATGACACAAAAGTGGTGTTTCATATTTGGAGTTGTTGTGATATCTGTATGCATATATGATTTGTAGGATCGTCTACCACTCAGAGCCTTCTTCCCACATGTGATGCAGAGTTTACTCACTCCTTTACTGACAGCACCATCAGGTACAGCACCTCTTACTATCTCTCAGAAACTTAGACCTTCACTTAACAAGAGAACATCATTTATGAGGATCTCTGATGATATGGTGCCTCAGCAGTTTATAGCACATATCTTTGTAGGAGAGAGTGGGAGGGGAGAGCTGTGCCGCTTTTTATACAAGTTGGCCACTAGTTAGGTGGAAGTGAAATATTTCAAGGTGTATATAAAGTACAATTAACTTTTTTTTTCAAAAACTATTGACTTTAAATTACTTGCTTTAAATAGTTTCTTAGTATGAAGTGCATGTCAGTCACAGGCAGCCATATATGAAGGACCATTTCTAAATATATGGTTATATGAGAGAAATTGTGCATATTTTTTATAGTAAAGGGAGACATAGTTACATAGTGTAGTCTAATTATATCAGATCGCAGATCTGTTGTTTTAATCTCAGATCTAGCAAACTATAATACTTTGTCAGACACCAGCCACACCCCCTTATTCAAAACCATTACCTCACTCTGACTGAACTTGACTCAGTATTGTCTCAGTGAGTGACTAGAGATTCATTTGAATCCTTCATCCTAAACCTCCACCATCTGAAGTCCCAAAGCCTGGCCTTATCTCCCTCCCTCCATCAGAGCAGTCCCAAACAAACAGTCTCCTTCCTCCGGTACCCACCCTGCTCGCCTCTGTACGGTCCTCTGATATCTATCTCTGGCTTGGCTCCCAAAGGACCCAGGGCTCTTCAGTGCCTCCTGAACTCCAGAGGATATCCTCACAATGCCACCTATTCTATAACCAGCACAACAGAAGAATCGCTGCAGACTTCAGGTGCCTGCTGCTCCAGGGGCTCGTTTTTAGGATTATTTGTTTGCACTGGTTCAATTGTCATTGTACATGGAATGATTGACGTGAAGGGGGACCTTCGTCTCTGAAAGAAGACTTGTGAATGCCGTTATTTACTTCAAGTTAAAGATAGACCATGATTCTTTGACTCTGGCATGTCTTAAACGGACAGTTCATCCAGTGAACATTTTCTCATACGTTACTCACTCTTAGGTCATTCAAACCCTGTTTTGGCAGAAAGTGAATGGACAAAAAATGTAATTTGAGATTGTTAGAGTAAGTTAGCTCCGTTTGATTTTTCACAGTCACTTTTCATTTTCACTTTGAAATATTCACTATATTTTACAATTAAATTTTTCCTTTGACTCCAGTCTTTACTATCTCATGACTCTTCAGAAATCATTGTAATATGCTGATTTGGTACTCAAGAAACATTTGTTATTGCTAACAATGTTGAAAACAGTTGTGATGCATAATATTTTGTGGAAACATTACACATTACATGATTTTTGACTGTTGCATGACTTAAATGTGGTGGCCCAGTAGTGCACAACACAACGAAATCTCCACAACACAACGGAAACAAGCCACAACACAACAAAATTACACAACACAACGAAATTACACAACACAACGGAAACAAGCCTCAACACAACGAAATTACACAACACAACGGAAACAAGCCACAACACAATGAAATTACACAACACAACGGAAACAAGCCACAATATAACGAAATTACACAACACAACGAAATTACACTACACAACGGAAACAAGCCACAACACAACGAAATTACACAACGCAGCGGAAACAAGCCACAACACAACGAAATTAACACAACACAACGAAATTACACAACACAACGGAAACAAGCCACAACACAACGGAAACAAGTCACAACACAAACAAAATTAGCACAATACAACGAAATTAGCACAACACAGCGGAAACAAGCCACAACACAAAGAAATTATACAACACAGAGGAAACAAGCTGCAACACAATGAAATTACACATCACAACGGAAACAAGCCACAACACAACGGAAACAAGCCACAACACAACGGAAACGAGTCACAACACAAACAAAATTAGCACAATACAACGAAATTAGCACAACACAGCGGAAACAAGCCACAACACAAAGAAATTATACAACACATAGGAAACAAGCTGCAACACAATGAAATTAGCACAACACAATGAAATTACACATCACAACGGAAACAAGCCGCAATTTAACGGAAACAAGTTGCAACAACGGAAACAAGCCACAACACAACAAAATTAGCACAACACAACGAAATTAAGCTACAACACAATGGAAACAAGCCATAACACAACGAAATTATCACAACACAACGTAAACAAACTGCAACAACTAATACTAGCCACAACACAAAATTAGCACAAAACAACGGAAACAAGCCACAACACAACAAAATTTGCACAACACACAGAAGCAAGCCGCAACACAGTGAAATTAGCACAACACAATAAAATTAGTCCTATGTGCTGTGTTTTGGCGATTTCGTTGTGTTGTGCACTACTGGATCACCATACTTAAGGGATAGTTTATCCAAAAATGAACATTTTGTCATGATACTTGTTCTAAACCAATTTTTTTCTTCTGCAGAACACAAAATAATTTTTTTTTTCCATATTCTGATAGTGGGGCCCATTGTTGTTTTGTTATATTTAATGAAAATTGGGGCTAAGCATAAATATACAGTGTTAAAATGTTTTAAAAGAAATATGGTTATAATAATATGAATGATATGGCAATGATGGCAATGATATGGCATGATGGCAGATGGCAACATTTCTTAAGGTTAGTTTGGTCAGGAACATTTTGAAGGGTCAGTTGAAAGCATTTCAACTTAAGATTTGTTGTCAGTTGCTAAGTTCACCTCATCCACCTGGAAATCAATTTCTAAAGTGTCTCATTTCTAAATTTTTCATTTCACCCCCTTTCAGAGGTTCCCAGGGAAGCCTGGCTGGATCATCTGAGCTGGATCAGAAGTTTACTTCAGAGCGTGACGGAGAATGAGGAGGCAGGGGAAGATGTCAGGTGAGATGAGCTTCAAGACACCCTACTCATTGCTGTCTTATCGTCAGCAGTGCTGTTACTACAGAGATTTCCCACACAGTAATCCTGTATGTTTCTAGCCCTGTCAGGCTTGACACAGGTGGGTATTTGGACACAGATGACCTGATATTTAGTGGTAGGTTTTCAGCTGAAGTACATAGCTGCTTTTCACAAATTCTTGTCCTTGTCTGTCCACACCAAGAAGTAGTATCAATGTCCTGAATAACAAATTTTTTTATTTTGTGCTACAGATCTCTTCACACTCTCTTCAAAGTCCATTTATAATATATGTGCATATATAATAATTGTGCATAAGTATAAAATGTTTTTCATTTAGCCAGACATACCATACATTGTTTTATCCTTGGTGTGAATAGACTTACTGACAGCAGTTCTTTTCACATTTGGTGTGAATAAACCACCACTAAACTAATTTTATGATTTTTTATTTTATTTAAAGGCTCAAACAACTTTTACATTACATAGATTGGAGAACATAATTTGTAATTATTAAATGGCTTTTTACAAAAAATAATACTAAATAAAAATATATTGCTTTCAACTGTAATTGTTTTTTCACAGTATTTTTTATCAGTTATAATAAGTGATACATTATCTGTGCAAGCTGCATTTTACAGATTTCCCTGACTATTAACCAATTATATGGCCCGATGCATGTGTGTCGTGTATACAGTTCTAGGAAAATACATGCATTGTAAGCATTTAAAGGAATAAGAGTGTCAGCTGCAGGTGTCATCAGGATATTATCAGAGAATAAACCAGAACTTGAAAGTTCAAGAAGCTCTTTAGTTTGAGCAGCTGTCAGTGCAAATCTCTCTTTCTCTGTCCAAACTCACTCAGCCTTCTTGTTCCTCCATCTCTCTTCGTTCTATAAGCCATATGTATCAGTAAATAATTGTTAGGTTATTTCTTTGTGTGTTTGGGTGGATGGTGATTTTCCAGGGCGTATCAGGCTTTCTTTGAGGCTTGGTTCCTGCTGGTGCAGTGTGGGTATTGGGTGGACACAGCTGCTGAGCTGCTTGTTCTGGCAGCGCCTGAGAACGCCGAACCGCTGCTGTGGCTCCTGACTTTCTTCCACCACCCCACCAACAGAGGGCACCAGAGGTCCCAACAAACCGTAAGAGATCTAATTATGGCGCTGAAGTCAGTCAACCTTACTTCACAAGTTAAAAACAGCAAAGTGAAGCAGACTGGAAAATTACTGATGGCTTCCTCCTCTTTGTTTTAATCTCAGGCAGTGGCCAGAGAAGCCTGGACTCATCTAAGGATGCTGTTTCTCACTCGTCCTCCCCCTCCCAGACACCTCAGTGCTGTGAAAGAGCTCCTGTCCTCCTCCCTTTCAGCAAACCTCGTTTTGCATTTGTTTTCAAACTTCACCATCTTTTCCCACGGACCTGTTAGCATTATCACTGAAATAACTGACAAGGTGAGGTCTTCACTGATTCAGATTCAACACATAGTAAAATAACATTCACCTCCTCAAATGCCAAGGGTTTGCTCATGCGAACCCGGTGGCCTATTCAAGGCGAGACGAGGGCTGTGTGCAGCCCAATTAAGTTGTCATCAGTGCCTTTATTGACCCTGCGCTAGTTCTTGTGGTATGCAGAGAACAACAGAATAAAATAGGCTGCTGGCTGGCAAAAGCGTTTCAGTCTCTCTCTCTCACACACACACACACACACTGTACAAAAACAAGTTTACACCCAACAGCTTGAACACTGAGAGCTGCTCCCTTATAGCAAGGTAAGGTTGAGGTTTAATAAATATACATACAGGGATAGTTTATGCAAAAAGCATAATTTTTCACCCCCATGTTGTTCTAAAACCATGTGATTTTATTCTGTGGAACACAGAATAAGCTTTGACACTGACAAACAGAAACCAAAAAGCATCATAAAAACAGTTCATATGACTTGTCCAAGTCTTATGAAATCATGTTAGATTTGTGTGAGGATTAGACTGAGATTTAAATCATTATTCACTATTGGTAATCTTTCCCCCCAAAAGCTTTCAACTCAAGTGAACGAGTTTGAACTGGTCCAGAAGAATGATTCATTGACTGAAAGAAAAAAAGAATGATTCAATGATCTGATCACAGTGATTCTTGCGTTAACAGCTCACTGGAAGGGGATTTTCATTGAATAGTTTATCACTGATACTAGTGAGAAAGTAAAAAATCATGCTTTGGTAATCGTTAGTTAAAAAAATTCATGAGATTAAAAAAAGTCGTAAGACCTTTTATCTAAATTTCGGCTTTCTTTGATATAATTGATTTTATTTTCATGTGGCTGAAATGGGCTTGCATTTCTTTCTCCTTGCTTAAGCCAAACCAATGTTTGAGCTCATTTTTGGTCTTTCTGTCTTTTGGCCTCAGACCTTTTCTGCTTCTTCAGCCATATGTGTATTAATTCTCCCTTTGTCTTTGCTGGTAAAGCACAATAATAATTGTTACAACAATACACAATAAAGCGCTATATAAATACATCATTCATTCAAACAATAACACATAATTTTTTCATGTTGAAATACACAGAGGGGTGTGACCTGCACCCTAAGCTTTCTTTGATATAATTGATTTTATTTTTTATTTTCATGTGGCTGAAATGGGCTTGCATTTCTTTCTCCTTGCTTAAGCCAAACCCAAACCAATGTTTGAGCTCATTTTTGGTCTTTGCTGGTCTTTCTGTCTTTTGGCCTCAGACCTTTTCTGCTTCTTCAGCCATACGTGTATTAATTCTCCCTTTGTCTTTGCTGGTAAAGCACAATAATAATTGTTACAACAATACACAATAAAGCGCTATATAAATACATCATTCATTCAAACAATAACACATACTTTTTTCATGTTGAAATACACAGAGGGGTGTGACCTGCACCCTACAAAATTAAAACTTATTCAAAAAAGTCACAATCCTATATGAGAATTGTAAGAAAAAGTTTTTTTTTTAAATTCTTCTCTGTGTTCCACTGGAAAGATACCAGGGTTTGTAATATGAGAGTAAATAATGAATATTACTTTACTACACATTTCATATGCTCATCTCAGTGACTTCACTGGACCACTGAAGTCATCTCAATGACTTCAGTGGTCCAGTGTAAATTGTGAGGGCTGGTTACCCAAATATGTGTGTTTTGTGATGCTGGCAGGTGCTGACTGAGGCCGGTGTGAAGCGCAGGGCACTGTGGATCCTCGCCTCAATACGCTGCAGACTAAACAGTGCCGCTACGCGGGACGACAAGGTTAATTCCAGGCTGAGGACTCTTCAGGACACCCTCCTCCAAACCTGAGAGCCTCACATAAAAAGTCCTAGCTTCGAGCGCTCGCCCAAACTATTTATTAGGACAAGGAATCCTGGCGTGGCTCAGTTACGCACCGAAAAGCTGGGTGGGACGATATGGCATTTATAGAAGAGAAGCCCAGCTGCCGTTTTTAACTTTAAAAGCAGTGGGTGTTCTCCCCCTAAACCCAAGAGGGGCCTCCGCACTTGATGTATTGAGCCAAATAAAATAACACATGTATTTCTATCTGTGTGTTTGGATGACATCAAACATGAATCGGAGAAAGTAAATTACCAGGGATGTGACTGCTGTCAGATCTGCGGTTGTATTTCCGGAGTGTTTGGACTCGAGTCTTTGTTGTTTGACTGCGGAGCTCC